TATATATATATATATATATATATATGCTTAGCGACATGCTATATATATATATACACACACAACCATAGCTACACACAACTATCCGACTATTCCGACGGCTCCTTTCCGTCGGCTCGAAAACTATGTTTGCTGCCCTCCTTCTGTCTCCCCCGTACGAATAACGTCCAACAACAAACAGAGGACAGGCCGCTCGTCGAATCGGCTCTTCGCCCATGGCGAGCAGTTTCGTGGACTTCTCTCCCCCCCCTCCCCCCTACCCGGGCCTCCCATCCGTCCGTCCATTTCACCCCGAATCCTTCTTCCTCCGATTTCAGCCACCCCTCGTGCGCCACCATCACGGAGGCTTCGAGAACCGATCGATAGCGCCCGCTAGACTTTCCACTCATATATTTGATTGCTCGACAAACATGCCTAAGTTTATCCCGCGGCCATCGCCATCGCCGACGACTATCACGACGGTGGTGTGCCGGCACGACCGCGTATCCCCGCGAGCAGTCGTTCAGACGTCGTCGTTCAGACGACGAGTTTGTTCGCCGAGAGCGTCGTGCTCAAAGTAATTCGATCCTATTAAGGCTGCGATGTAATTCCAGCTATGAACGCTATATACGAAGTTTCCGAAGTATCTCGGAATCTCGATGATGGAACACGGGGCGACGCGTGCGAGCATTGTGAGATCGCACCGGCGATTGACGCGCGCTGAAGTCCTTTCCGTTGATGAGGTGTCCCAGTTTGCTTATGGCACGATATATAAACTTTCGCTCTAAATTCGAGCGGCGGCGGGGGCTGCGGGTGCGCGATAAAAGTAAAATATTTATCGCAGGCGTCGTCGACAATGTGTCAAGCAAACTTCGGGGGGACGGGACAAACTTCCGTCACGTTTCTTTGTACGGCAGCTTATTCAATTATTCTTTAGCGCTGTAACTGTGTCGCGCCATTAGCTTCGCTTTTACTATAAACGGTCCGTGGCCTTATAGTACGAGTGTGTTAACTGGTTTGACGAGCCGCTCGATAGCGAGTCAAGGCGAGGCAGCGCGTTTAGCGATCGATCTTCTTATACTCGTTCCGCGAGTAAAACTTGGCGGAAGTTGTACGCTTCATTAATCAACAGTTGATAATTAAATCAAGCCGCGAAACTTGGTTCGAAAAAATGCTGCACTCTCGTTTGAGTTCGCCTCGATGTCAGAGAGAGAGAGAGAGAGAAAGAAGGGGGAGGAGGAAGGAAATGAGCGAGATAGAAAAGAATGAGGGAGGGGGATCTTATTAAAAAGTAATTATTTCGTTACGTTATGTACGGAGGCATTATATTGCCAACTCAATAATACTTTGCATCGCTCTCGAAAGAAACGCTTCAAAAATAGAATTGTCGTGATCGATGGACGGGGAACATCTGTTACCGTGGTTGATGAAGGAGGGCGATTTGAATATAGAACCGTCGGCATGAGCGCCCGATATAATCCGTATCGCGCATCAACTATTATAACTCGGTTATAAGACGTTAGCGAACATTGTTTTTTTTATAACCGTCGAAAGTGAACGACGCAAATATGGGGTTACGTTATCCCATAATCTGGCTTCTGTCTTGTTCGTAGAAAATTAATAAGAAACTGGGAAGATGGTAAAAATAAAATCGTCCCAGATTCCTATTTGTACTGTGCTTGTTTTATC